TGATCTCTCCTATAGGAGAGCAAGTGAAGCTAAGTAGACATTTGTTGAGGATGCTTCTGGCTGGATCCTTGCACTGAAAAAGGGATTGGACACTGAGACCTCTAAGCTCCCCAGAGTAGGCAGGTCCTGAGATTGGACTGCTTATCACCCATCCTGGCTGGAAATTTTAAAATTGTAGTCCAGCATATCTAGAAATTACCAGATTGGAGAAGCTATTTTATCCAATTTGAACCCTCATATGTTGGGGCAGGGAATGCTTCAAAAATGTAGGGTCTAAATAGCTTCCAACACTGGATTTTGTATTTTCTATATCTTGTGTATTTTACCTGCAAATAACACTTATGTGAAAAGAGGAAAAGTGTTTGGAAAGTTCAACAGATCCAGTGCTCCATTCTGAAATCTGTATTTCAATTATAAACTTTTGGGGGCAACAAGAGTTACATAAAACTGTAAATCTTTACATAAAACTAGAAGCCCACCAGTACCTCTAGAAAGGTAGAACTTCAAGCCACAATGAGAGACAAACAGCTCAAAAGCATCAGGCAAACTGTATTCAATAACTTTGTTTAAGGTTTCTAAGGCCACTTATTCTAACACATTCGGGACAGAGTTATTTTAAACCTAACCAGGCTTTATTTATTTCAATCTCATGGTTACTAATCACAGTGAAAAGGTCTCCTTAGCCAGTGACTTACAAAGGACAGCTATCCTTTCGATTTATTTTCTTGGTATTTGCCCTTGAATTTTCCTTTGTAAAGCAAACGTATAAACGTTAATTATTTTTTATCCAACCTCTTTTAGACTTGCCTTTTTTTCAGGATTATCTTTGTATTTTTGTCCAAAGAAAATACGTCCCTGTTCTATTGTTTCTTTTTATTTTTCTTATATGTATCCATGTATTTATAACTATGTTTTTACTTATACCTATTATCTTGTAAGCAATTGACAAACCAAATAAAATCAAATAACGTACAGAGGGAAACTATTGGGATTCTGTGACGAAGTATTATATTTTGCATCCAATTTTCCTCCACGCCTCTTACTTATTTATTATTCACGTATATTTGATGGTTTTTATCTTGCAGCAAGGCTACATACCTTGAAATTCAGTTCTCACAGCACAAAAAAAAGTGCTCCACCTGGGCATGAGCAGATGAGCGCTGGTCAAAGCCAGGTGTATCCTAGATTAAGGCATTAATCAGAAGGAGGGGCTAGCATTACCGGCTTTTTGCGTCCCATTTAAGGCTGGCGAATAAAACGGGCGAATTCGCCGCGAAACATGGGGGGGGGGATGGTTCTTGAGGGAGAAGGGTACGCCCACTTCTCCCCAGGGGCCCTCGCAATAGCGGGAGTTTTGAGACGGCCGGTAACGCGCGGATTGCTTCGGCGGCATTGGCTATCTCTGCGCGCTGCGGTTTGGATAAAATGGGGGGAAGGCAAGGGAACCGGTGAGTGTCGGGTGGCGACGGTGGGGTTTGGTCTGGCTAGGCTCGCTGGGGTGGGGGGGAAACTGCTTTGGTCTAGGAGGAAAGCCCGAGGTTGGAAGAAGGGCAAAGTTTATGGGAGGCGGGGGTGGTGGTGTGGAATTGCTTACAAGTTGCCTAGATAGGCGCGAAGTGCTGTGAGGGAGACGTGAGAATGGGGTGGTCCAGAGGTCTCCAAACCTGGCAACTTTAAGACTTGTGGACTTCAACTCCCAGAATTCTCCAGCCAGCTGGAGAATTCTGGGAGTTGAAGTCTTAAAGTTGCCAGGTTTGGAGACCCCCGGTAGTCGGATAAGAGGGGAAGTTGGGGGGGGGGGCTTCCGATTTTTCTTTCTGTTGAAGAGGTCCACCTGCAATTCTCAATTCCTCACGAGCGTATGAAGTCCAGCAACTATCCTATTTTCGTACCCTGGAATGCTTGTTTAAAGCCGCAGGAAGGTCCTCCCTCTTATGTCTTCGTTGGATTGAGTAAAGGCAGTTCCTTTCCTGTCTATAGTAGGAATTTCTAAGTCGCCCTGCTTGTTAAAAGTGGGTTCCTGTGCAGTGGCCTCTCTTCCCCGATCATTGCCTTGTAAAATGTATTGAAGCACCGGGTTCCAAATGTCCACACTTTGAGCCCTGGTTGGTGTGGTGTTTGGAGAAGCCACCCTTATCTTTGAAAACAATTGCCCCAGCCGAAAGAAGAAGAAAAAAAAGACAGGGATAATAATAATAAAAAAAGATGATCAAACCTATATGCATGTGAAAAAAACGAGAATTCCTCTTTTTTTAAAAAAAATCTAGAAACATAATAGGGAAGCTCTTCCTGGCATGGATGTACAAAAGTCTTAGAACATTTTTTTTCTTTCTTTTTTAAAAGGTGCTGTATTTTAAAATGACAAAACTTCTTCACATTTGTACACACAAATGTAGCCACAGGATGAGATGAAGTAGAATGGGGAGACTTATTTTATCATAGTAATCATTACATTAATGTACAGAAATTAATAAGGCTGAAGGAGAAAACACCCTGGAGATTGTTCCACAGAAGGATGGATGGATTGTATGCAACTATTCTCTCTGTGTATGGAGGTGTGGGAACTGGCACTTGACTCTCGTACAATGTATAAAATGTAAGGCCTTTTTTACATAAATTCACACCATTCTCCCCACTAGCTTTAATACTATTAAAGTTCTACCACTGTTAGGAATAACTGCTGAATCACCTAATCATTTGAAGCTTTTAGCAGGGCTAAGTAAAGATTGCTGCAGCAATTAAATGCTTACATGAAATTGAGGGCAACTGTGAAAAATCATCTTGACTTACATCTTAGTTGGACTAGTCACTAGAATCATGCCAATTCAAATTGCCAAGCTTATTTCTGGAAGTTTGGTAACTAGCCTTGGAAGGAATGTAATAAAAGGAAATAATAATGAAGATTCATTAATAAGTACTGCAGTCCTACAGTATTAAGGAGCATTTTTAGCTTACACTGTATCTGTTCTGCACAACAATGTAGTGGTTTAAGGTGAGAATGAGCATGATGAGTTTAGGATATATTGTTTTCTCTCTCCAATGTTAAAAGTATTGCATTTCCAGAATGCAATACTTATTCTGAATTGCTAAGCTAATGAATGTGCTTAAAAGTTGAAACAATTCAGCTTTTATCTCCTGCAGCTATTCAGAGAAAGGTAATGAATTGCAAACAGGAATGTATGAAAAATGGTGGCCTGTGATTCTCTCAATTCAGAATCAAATCTAGCACAGCATGGTTAAAAGCATTACAGTTGTCCTTTTCTTTTCCGGGACTTTAGATTATTTAATTTCTTCCGATTTCACATTGTTGTCAATTCAGGAAAGTTCTGAGGCTTGACTATTACCAGTCTTCTCCCTGATGCAAAAAGAGTTCAGTTAAGACCTAATTGCATGCATTGGTATACAAAATAATGTTTGAGAAAGTAACAGTCCAACTGAATGTTAGGGAAGGAAAACTTTTAAAAGTACATTGTCAGTAGAACCAATTAATAATGAAAACTAGATAAACCTATGTTTGATTTGGAATTCTGCACTAATGGATGAATTTAATTAGTTAAATAGTTTTTTCCAACTCTGCTTCTATATTTCACAGTTTCCCTCTGTTTATATCAGTGCAGATACAATACACTACAATAGACACAATGTAGTTGCCATATTTAGAATTTGTCTGGGCTTAGAAGTTGAAAGGCTTGAACTAGTTAGTACTTGAATGGGAGATTAGCAGGAAATCCTAGAGCTGATAGCTAGGTTGGGAAGATGAAAAATTTACTCAAAACAGTAAGCAGCATCCTACCTTTTCAACCTTAGCAACTTAAAAATGTGTGGACTTCAACTCCCAGAATCCCCCAACCAGAAAGCAGCATTCTTGACTGGGGAATTCTGGGAGTTAAAGTCTATACATTTTTAAATTGTCGAGGTTGAGAAACACTGCTCTATAGCATTGTTAGAAAAACACTGCATGGATTGGTTCATGAGATCGTTGGCTGTTGAAGTAGATTTTTAGTTATGACTTTACAGGATTTTTAGTTATTTAGATTTTTAGTTATGACTTTACAGGACCACTAACTAAATCTATATAGCTTGTCAAAATGCCAACTAGTACTAGATCTGTTTGGATTTTTCAGTAGGGTGTTATTTGTTGCTGCCTATAAGTTTACATGAACTGTGATTCTATTCACTAACACTGCATTTCACATTTGCCTCCTCCAGTGGCTAAAAGTAATGTTTACATGTTCGCTGTTTCTATGGGATTGTGTGTATTATAGTTTTGTGAAATGGGTCATAAGGATTTATAGTGCAAATATGCTGCATCTCAAACAACAGTCAAAATTCTTTGGGAAAACCATGAATTGGTACGATTCAGCCCTTTAAAGTATCAGTGGAAGTATGGGTAGATGAGGTGTTGGCTAAAAGGTTCTATACTCTAATGATAAAGTTTTCTATGCAGAATTGCATTAGCCTGGTGTTTTATTCTTGACCCACACAAAGAATATGACTACTCAACTTAAGAAAGTACCGAAAATGTGCAGCACAGCACACCCTGCAAACCCCAACAGATAACCCTACAAAAGTGGTCTCATGGCTTGGTCATTATCTCACAAGTAAATCCTCTTTCTAAAACATTGGAAAATAATTCCAAGACACAGATAACATTTGGGAAGGGAAAACAATTGGAACATATCATAATTTTTTGCAATTAATATCAAGGAACTGTATACAGTACAGAATGATGGATCAGAAAGTTCTTAGCAAGTTAGAGATGACCATACTGTATAGGTTTTTCTTAAAAATTGTAAACCACCCAGAGTCTTACAATTAGGTGAGATGTATGATGTAGAAATTTACTATTTACTATTCAATTGACTATGGAATCTTTATTATAATGCCATCCTTTGACAATATGGACTTGGAGTTTCTACTAATAAATCCATTTCTATTATCTTCATAGGGATAACAGTGACATTGCGAAGATTGCAAGCAAAAGCTGCCAAGATCCCATAATGGAGATACAACTAAACTGTGTACTTGAAAGTGATGACTCTAATTCCAGGGGAGATCAATCAAGTGAATTCAATAGCATTTCTGATTGGGTGGGTCATAAAGCCAATCCTGGGCTCAAGATGGAGGAAGACAACCTGACACCTTTCTATCCAAACGTAAGTCCTGTTACATTTTCCTGTCATGCGGATTTCTCTGCAAAACTACTGTGTGGACAACAGGAAATATCTTCAAAAGGATTTCCCAAAACCTCAACTTATTGGCAACAGAAAAATCCATGTACACCTGGGGTATATGTTCCTGCTAGATTAATTTATAATCCAGCTTCTCAAGAGGAAGATGTGGAATATCAGTGTTTTGACATTTATAAGGATCTTCATGGACAACGAGAAGAAGAAGAAAATTTTATTATTCTTGTTGACTCAAATGAGGAGAAGAATATATCACCTCAGTTGGGAAAAACTTTGCCTTCTCATTATCAGAAATGTCATCAATCTTTCCAAGATCTCTCCAGGCTACAAGTGGCTAGGAATTCATATCCCTGCCCCCTTTGTGGCAAGGAGTTTTTTCGTGCAGCTAATTTGCGAATGCACAAATTGACCCATACTGAAGAAAGACCCCACAAGTGTCCAATATGTAACAAAGGTTTCATTCGCACCGCTGATGTTTGGAGACATCTGCACAGTTTTCACAAGATAGAGCGCTCCAGTGTTGTTTTGGGAAATGCAAACATAAGGAATCAATGGTGCACAGTGAAGCAAAATCAGGATAATAAAGGATATCCTAAACAATTGGAATCTGCTGCCGGCAATTTTGGAAAAGAAAGTTCAAAATCATGTATCTGTCCAGTATGTCACAAAGTTTTCCGCAAACCTAACTTGCTTTCCAAACACAAAGTAATACATCGACAAGAAAAGCCATACAAATGCAAAGAATGTGGCATGGCCTTTGTCCAACTGGCTAGATTAAAAAGGCATAATCTGACACATACAGGAGAGCGTCCATTTTCCTGTGAAAGATGTAACAACACATTTACACGTTTAGGTTCATTACAGCGTCATCAACGTATCCATACTGGAGAAAAGCCCTATTCTTGTTCCTACTGTGGTGTGTCCTTTACAGACTCGGGAACTCTGAAGAGGCATGAACAGATTCATAAAGTTATCCAAATATAACGTGATGCCTCTGGTATTAGACTTTTATTTTATGCTGTATAAGCAATCCATTCGCATTCCAACTGCACAAAGAATCCCACCTATGTATGCAAGTTGCATTCAATCTAGATTCTTTTTCTCCCTAACTATAAAACTTTGATGTGCCACTCAAAAGAGTAGTTGTGATCCTCCCTCCAAGAAGTGCCTTTTACTTTAATGAAATAGAAGGGAAAGATAGCTTTCAAATTGATTTTGATATCGCTTCAGACTGCAGCTGACAAAACTTTTCCCTACTTTAGAAAACCTAGCCAGTAATAAAAGGAAGATCTATATTGTAAAGTGGTACATTATAGGTCTGGGTTTGCGTTTTTGTTTTTTTGTTTAGTGTCCTGGTTTTCTACTTGTAATCAGAGCTGTTCTTATCAAATTAATGATAATTGTATCCTCCATCAGTAATCTGATGTACTATCTATTCTGTACCCCCCCTCCCCCCAATACATATACTGTATACACACACACACTTTAAGGCATGGTTACACCATCATACCTAGCCTTTTATACCATCTTGGTCACCTTTTCATGATTGTCAACCAAATATATTGGTCATTTGAGAGTGCCACACCTCAAGAGGCAGTGATTGGGGAAATAGGTTTTGCTTGTGGCATCTGTTAACGGGAGAGAACATAAAGATAATCACTTGATGCTTCAGGCATTGGCATATGCCAATAGAATGATGAGCCTGAAGGCTTCAGAGGACAATGATCTTTAATGAGCAATTTTGGGTAAATTTAAATGAATGAAAAGTTTGTTTACTCTTTTCCTTACTCTCTTGTTGAATGTTTGCATTGTTTCATAGCCAGGACCTGTTTTTTTATATATATATATACATTATCCAAACCACTTTTTAAACTAACATTTGCTTATAGAATTTGCAAATTTACATTGATGTTTCTTTAGTGATCTTGCTTGTCTTTGTAATATGACTTGAAATTGTGGAATCCTGGAGATTCTAACCCTAACGCTACTTCTGATGTGTATCTTAATCTCATCTTTGGTTCAGCTAAGGAATTACCTGGTGGAATGAAGTTAAAAGTGCCAGACTTATATAATAAATTGTCATTAAAACTGGATCTTTATTGTACCGTATATTTTTCTTATATTTCTATTCAGCCCAGGGAAAGATGAAGATGAAGTGAGATTCCAAGGACCCTGAATCTAGATCTCCACCATCCTAGACATTAATTGTTTAATGCAAAGAATAGTAGCATTTCACTTACATCCCATATTCCATGTATGGTAACTGCTGGAATGGAGATTGATGGGAATCATGCTTCAGAATGATGGAGCAGCCCCACAATATAGACTGCTAACTCAATATTTTACAAGCATCTCCATCCATACAAATCTGGACGTATTCACTTCATATTTGAAATTTATTAAGTGATGGCATTCTGAACCCTTTTACCCAATTCCTAATCAACACATTGTTGAATTGGGAATAAGCTAAAATAAAAAAAAAAAAATGTTGATTACCAGAGAAGAGAAAGAGAAACAAGCAAACAGCCAATGGCAAACTTTTATGAACAATATTCCACCCAATGGAATATATTCCATCTTTCTACCCACAACATGTGAGAATACCTTTGGAATGACCTCATCTCTTAGTGGTCCCATCTGTGGAAGGATTTGGTAGAAAACTTAATCCACTCCAATTCAGGATAGAAACAGCTTGGAGGATGGCAAATAGGAATACTGACTCTTCGTATAAAATTCCGTTCTCACTCCTAGGGATGGTTTGTATCTTCCTCAATCTTGGATCCTCCAGCAGAGGTCTGGGAGTTTGAGGGTTCTTAGTTGTTCCTAACACTGCTCTTCTGGACAGAGAGCTCTGATGTTGCTCCTGGGATCCATTGGAGCCACCCTCCTTGCACCTCTTTGGATGTTTACTTCAACACTTGTGTAATAGGTTCTGCCGATAGAGGCAATTAAGTGATAAATTCCTGTTGGTTTCATAGACACCCCACTATTCTTAATAACATCATTAGGGGTTTTTCTTTTCTTAACAGCCCTGGTATTTCCTAATGACCTTCTTTCAAAGTAACACCCAGTTTTGTTAGTACTTAGCTTTTTTTCAGGTCAGAAGTTTGTTGTCATCAAAATACAGAACTTTAACTCTGTACCTGTGTTTCCATAACAGCACTAATTAGGATGGTGGGCTTCCAATAGAACCTGTTTTTTCACAAAATTATCCATTGGGGGGAATAGTGCAGGCAATCCTCATTTAGTGACCACAATTGGGACTAGCAACTGAAGTGGTCATTAAATGAAATATCAAGTCATGACTGCTTACAGCAAGGGTCTTCAAACTTGGCAAGTTTTTAAGATTTGTGGACTTCAACTCCCAGAATTCCTGACCTAACATGATTGGAGGAGGAATTCTGGGAGTTGAAGTCCACAAGTCTTGAAGCTGTCAAGTTTGAAGGCTCCTGGCTTACAGTTTTGCTTCAGCTTTCTTTAGCTTTACAAAGGATGCAACTCCAAACATTTCCCAAACTCTACTCAAGAGGGAGCCCTGCAAAACCAAATCTTGTAATCCTTTCCCCCTCTCCCACTTCAGCTGCCCTTTGGAACACTTATCCCCTAGTGCTAGAATAATTAGCAAGCGAATTGATAATGTATTTACATTACCAGTTCCAGCCCTTTGTTTTACTTTACTTGCTAATTCTATTATATCAAACTAACAATATTACAACTCTATTAACAGCATCATGTATCCTCAAAATCAGCAGTAGTAGCAACAGTAACATTTTTTAAAAAAATACCTGGAAAATTTCAAAACAGTTCAAAAAAACTGACAATATGTCTGAAAAATGACTTCATTCCCCTTTGTCAGGGAAAAAAAATAACAATTCAAATTCAACACATGAACCATCATTGCTGCAAATCAGGTGTTTAGGTAGTCTTTGAATTTACAGCCCTTTGTTAGTACATATGTGCTAGTCGTTTCTGGCTCTAGGGGGCGGTGCTCATCTCCGTTACAAAGCTGAAGAGCTAGCACGGCTCCATGGTCATGTGGCCGGCATGACTAAATGCCGAAGGAACATGGAACGCTGTTACCTTCCCATCAAAGTGGTCCCTATTTTTCTACTTGCATTTTTACATACTTTCAAACTAGGTTGGCAGAAGTGGGACAAGTAACGGGAGCTCACTCCGTTATGTGGTGCTAGGGATTCGAACCGCCAACGTGCCGACTTTTCTGATCGACAAGCTGAGCGACTTAGCCACTGAGCCACCATGTCCCAAATTCAAGGTTACATTCAAGGTTACATCACTGAAAAATGTGGCTTGCAACCAGTCCTTGCCCTTATGACCATGACAGCATCCCCATAGTCACATGATCAAAATTCAGGCACTTAGCAACTGAAGTGTATTTAGGATGGTTGTAGCTTACCTAGGTCATGTGATCACAATGCATGACCTTCTCAACCAGCTTCTGACAAGCAAAGTCAATGGGAGAAGTCAGATATGCTTGACAATCACAATTCACCTAACTAGTTACCTGAAATGATTTGCAGATTTAACCACTACAAAAAGGTCATAAAATTGGACATGACTCATTAGCAGTCACCTTGCTTAAAAATGGAAAATCATGTACCAATTGTAGTTGTAAGGACTATCTGTGTATATCTTCTTGTATTGTTTGATATGTCAGCCAATCCCTGTATCTGAAATATCCACAGTTCTTGATGTCTTCAACCTGGTTTGGATGTAGCAGAGAACTTTTGTATTTTTAATACATAGAAATGATCTAGAGTCATATTAAGAATTCTGTTGATTTCAGTCCAAAAGACAGAAATCAAATTCAAAATATATGAATGTATAGTATGTTTCAGTTCCTAAATCCATCAATGCATCATTATTAATCATTCCCTAAAGTATCCTGTACAAGGATGGCAATATTTTTCTAATATATCTCATTTTAAAATAATAAACTAATTCCATATTATTTAAATCAACCTTCCAATGGTTTATTGGAACAAAACATTCCAACTCATTATTTTAAGATTGCAAAATCATATCAGTTTTGACAATTTTCTTCAGCTTCCTTTAAACAAAGATAAATCAAGCACATATTGAAGTCAATTCCAGAACTAGACAGCAGATGGTGACTTTGTCCTACCAATGATCAGAAATACTAATGAATGAAAAGAAAGAAAGCCTGCTGATATAAGAATACAGTATGCATAGAAATCAGATGCAGTTTAATAACTACATGATTCAAAAATTGCTCTTCACCTTGGGTAGAGGAAAGAGGCATACATTTTGACAGGAATCAAGGCCGTTACCTCACACCTGCAGTAAAAGGCAATCTGTTCTACACATGATGCCTGGATTTTGAGATTTGTACACCAAGAGTGAAGCAAAGCTGAGGCAGCCAATGGGCCAGAGCCTAAAGCAGATAGCTTCTCTTGCCTTTTTCCCCCTAACAGGTCATCCTTTTCCCCTCCCCTTTATCATCATCTGCCTGAGGGGAAAAAAGGTTGCTCTATGCTGGACATTCAAAGAGAATTTTTGACATCAGTCTGAAGGCATGAGAAATTCATTTGAATTTTAATATTTGGAATAATTATTGGAAAAAAGATCAGCTGTAGGCTGCCTGTGACCCCAAATTACAGAACATTCCTACCCACCCCTTGTAAAATTATCCATCCTAGAGACACCAATCTATCTGATTTGCCTTCTGCTTCCATCTCACCTCACCCTTTACCAGATATATCCATAAAAATGTCAACCAGCAATGGCCTCTTCTTGGGATTGCGAATCTTAATTAGTTGTTGGGTTTATGCTGTGGTACCCAAGATATTCAATGAGATCTGGAAGTATTTTCTCTTGCTAGTGATAAGTCAAAGACACTATAACATAACAATGTGTGGTGGGATCAAGTTTCCTAGTATTGAGTGGCTAAAGGACAAAATTCTGTGTACTCTGGAATTTTGTTTTTAAAAAAGTAATCTGCTGGC